TTGCCACCTTCATTTTGTTTGTGATCTTTCCTTTACGTGTGGGGACATTTCCAGAAAGCTCTGTGCAGCATCCACCCAGGTGTTTATTTTCTTAGAATGCTTATGGGATCTAGGTGGGTCCCATGGGTACTCTTAGAAATAAAAACAATGTTGGAGGCTGATATTTAGCTTTGTGGCACATCGGCTTTCCCTTTGTCATTATATTTCAATAAATACTATTTAAGGAAAAAAAAATACAACATAGAATCTAGTGGGTCAGGAAACAGGAGAGATGCCAAAAAAGATATCTGCAGCCACATTTCTGCCTCTAAACATTACATTGTCAACTTCATAATTTCATTTGGCAAAGTATAAGCCAGTATCTATTAACTCGGAATTGAACTGATCTTTTCCAGGACCTTACAGGCCCAGACAGATGGGAAATTACCAGTTCAAATTGCACACAATAATTTAAGCAAACTGTATGCCAATCTATATTTCTCCCTTTTAAAATAATGTTTTTCTACGCATCATTTTTAAAGGGATTGCAGCACGTAAGGCTTTTACTTAACAGCATTATCTTCCAATACCATGCAATTTAACCTACAATTTCAATTCACTAAGATCTGCATCTAACTGAATAGTCAATAATTTAATCACTGAATTCTCAGCTTTTTGAAGCCTTTTAGCATTTTTGTGGGTCTCTTAAAATGGCCACCAGTTTACCACTTCTGCTTACTCGTGTGATTTTCTTAATAGTAGAGTCTTATTTGGGGTTTGCTTACTTTTCCAGATTTGAAAATTGTCCTTGGCTCCTGGACATTGTACAACTTTCATCATAAATCATATGATTCTGAGATACTAAAATAAAATTGGATAATCAAACCAAGTTAAAAAGATTTTCTTTCATTGGTACTTTGCCCATTTTTTCCCCCAGGAGCTTGGGCAGAAGGCAGAATTATCTCAGTTTATTCTTAAAACCTTTAAACTAGATTGGAATGAAAAGAGTCCAGATTCATCTCTGCAATCAGCAATGAAAACTGACTACGTCATTTGTTACTCTTAGTATTTGCTAGCAGTCTAGACTCTCGGATCCAGTCTTAACCAGAAGAAAATAAGAAGACAATTAAAAACTGTGGTAACACAGTGGTTGGAATGCAATACTTAAGGCTAACTCACTGCTCACTCCAGGAGTTCGATTCTGAGCTGCTCAAGGTTGACTCAGCCTTCCATCCTTCCAAAGTCAGTAAAATGAGGACCTAGATTATTGGGGGCAATAGGCTGACTCTGTAAACCACTTAGAGAGGGCTATAAAACACAATGAAGTGGTATATAGTCTAAGTGCTATTGCTATTGCTCCTTCCTTCCTTCCTTCCTTCCTTCCTTCCTTCCTTCCTTCCTTCCTTCCTTCCTTCCTTCCTTTCCTTCCTTCCTTCCTTCCTTCTTCCTTCCATAATTCTGCCAACTGCCAGCAGTTTGATCCTTACCAGCTCAAGGTTGATTCAGCCTTCCATCCTTCCAAAGTCGGTAAAATGAGGACCCAGATTGTTGGGGGTAATATGCTGACTCTGTAAATCGCTTAGAGAGGGCTATAAAACACTTTTGTTGTTAATTGCGAAGTCGTGTCCGACCCATCGCGACCCCATGGACAACGTTCCTCCAGGTCTTCCTGTCCTCTACCATCTTCTGGAGTCCATTTAAATTCACACCTACTGCTTCAGTGACTCCATCCAGCCATCTCATTCTCTGTCGTCCCCTTCTTCTATTGCCCTCAATCTTTCACAGCATTAGGCCCTTCTCCAGTGAGTCCTTCCTTCTCATTAGGTGGCCAAAGTATTTGAGTTTCAACTTCAGGATCTGGCCTTCTAAAGAGCAGTCGGGGTTGATCTCTTCTAGGACTGACCGGTTGGATTGCCTTGCAGAGTTCAAAGGCCTCAATTCTTTTGGGCTCAGCCTTTTTTATGGTCCAACTTTCACAGCCAGACATTGCAACTGGGAAAACCATGGCCTTGACTATACGCACTTTTGTTGGCAAGGTGATGTCTCTGCTTTTTAATATGCTGTCTAGATTTACCATAGCTTTCCTCCCCAGGAGCAAGTTTTTTTTAATTTCTTGGCTGCAGTCCCCATCTGTGGTGATCTTGGAGCCCAGGACTTTATATAATTATTAAATTAACTCCTAAATCAGCATACTAATGAAACAGGGTAACAAATACATAAAACCATTTAAATAAAACATTTTCTGATAGAACACATCCAGGGGCTGAGGTGGGATCCCGAGGCCTCTGAGTGGAGGCCGCACCACCAGCCCGTCTGGCCCACCCCGTCGGGGAGGTGGAGCGTGAGCACGCATGCCAGGACCTAAAAGATGGTGAACTATGCCTGGGCAGGGCAAGGCCAGAGGAAACTCTGGTGAAGGTCCCTAGCGGTCCTGACGTGCAAATCAGTCGTCCGACCTGGATATAGGGGCGAAAGACTAATCGAACCATCTAGTAGCTGGTTCCCTCCGAAGTTTCCCTCAGGATAGGGAATGTGATTTATGACCATTAATTGGAAGAGGGAATTGTGCTTTGATACTATGTGCCCAGGGGAGGAGAATTCTGGTTTTGGCTTCGATTATGCAAGGCTGATATTATGCTACTCAAATAAAAGATTCTTTAAGGCAGTGGTTCTCAAACTTTTTAATGCCACGACCCCCAACCAGTCGTAAGTCGAGGACTACTCAACCGGTCGTAAGTCGAGGACTACTCAACTGGTGCAGCACCGTTTGCAGAATGGGACTTTTGGCGGGCTCAGCAGGGCAGAGACAGCCTGGACAATTCCTATTGGCTTTTGAAAGCCAATAGAATTAGACTCTATTCAAGAGAGTCTATTCTATTGGCTTTCAAAAACCAATAGAATAAAAGGGAGTAGCGCAGCTAAGGAAAAGGGGAAAAAATGGCGGACTGCGTTGTTTGGCGACCCCCGTGAAATGGTCGTTCGACCCCAAATGGGGTCCCGACCCACAGGTTGAGAACCACTGCTTTAAGGTAAACAATGCCTCAAAGTTCTTTTGAAGAGTTTCATCTGTCGGAACCATGACACATAATTACATTGATAAAAATAATATTGGACCTAATCTAATACAGGTAGTCCTCAATTTACGACCACAATTGAACCCAAAAGTTATGATGTTAAGCAAGACCGTTGTTAAGTGAGTTTGGCCTCATTTTATGACCTTTCTTGCCCCAGTTGTTATGTGAATCACTGCAGTTGTTAAGTTAGTAACATGGTTGCTAAGTGAATCTGGCTTCCCCATTGACTTTGCTTCTCAAAGGGTCACAAATGGGGATTGCATGACCCCGGGACCGTCAGAAGTATGAACCAGTTGCCAAGCATCCAAATTCTGATCACGTGACCATGGGAATGCTGCAACGGTCGTAAGTGTGAATAACGTAAGTCACTTTTTTCAGCCCTGTTGTAGCTTTTAACAGTCATTAAATGAACCGTTGTTAAGTCGAGGATTACCTGTAGGGATTATCACTCTCTCTAAGCCATTTTTAATATGGCAGCCCTACCAGCCTTCTGTGCAGGTTGTTATTCTAAGGCAGTGGTTCTCAACCTTTTTAATGCCGCGACCTCCAACCAGTTGTAAGTCGAGGACTACTCAACTGGTCGTAAGTCGAGGATTACTCAACTGGTGCAGCACCGTTTGCAGAATGGGACTTTTGGCGGGCTCAGCAGGGCAGAGACAGCCTGGACAATTCCTATGGGCTTTTGAAAGCCAATAGAATTAGACTCCATTCAAGAGAGTCTATTCTATTGGCTTTCAAAAGCCAATAGAATAAAAGGGAGTAGCACAGCTAAGGAAAAGGGGGAAAAAATGGCAGACTGCGTTGTTTGGCGACCCCTGTGAAGTGGTCGTTCGACCCCAAATGGGGTTCCGACCCACAGGTTGAGAACCACTATTCTAAGGAATTCTTGAGATAAAGTAGGTGAAAGGCTTTTAATGTTACTAGCTTCAAAATATAATAGCAGTAATTAAAGCAACATATTTTTGTTCCTCTCTTACAATCATGAACCAGAAGTCAAAATGGAAATGCCAAAAGAAGAATAAAACTGCAGGAAGTTTATTCAGTGCTACTGGTTAGCAGATGGAGATATAAAGGGGATCCTGACCCCAATTTAATTCACTTTCCCTGTGCCTACCTGCAAGAGGAAATCAAGAGTGTCTGCAACCCAAGTTATATAAATCTCTAATGCCCTCAAGTGGTTGGCTGGAGGATTCAGATTAGGGTTCCATCTGTAAGAGCATTGCTTTAAAAGACAAATTTGATTCTTGTGTTCTATAGGCTTGTACAAACCATGCAAAATTCGATTTCAATAATCAGCTCAAATGAATCCAACTCAACTGTTTTCAATTGAATAGAAAAAATTATTTGGAGAGATTGTTCAAATTAGTTGCCCAAATCCAATTATTGGATTTGAATTTCTGAATCAGTTGGAAAAATAACATTACCGTACATATATAAAAGCATCTGAAATGGTCTGTATCATTTCAGAGTTTCAGTTTCATTCCAAAGCAATTCAGAGATTTAATCAAATGGTTTTCAAATCAGATGTCCAAACTGAACGTTCACCCATAGTAACGGTTCATACAGACATAGCATGTTCATCACCAGTGCACAATTGCATCTGAAATTCTATCTTACTTTGCTCCATACCATAAATTGTTTTATCCATTTTGAATCTTTCTAATAACTGTAAATGGGAAAACTTTCAGGTGTGAACAAGCAGATGCACAGATGTAAAGTCCAAAGTAGCTACTTGATTGTTCTCTACCCATAATACAGGAACAATAAAATAGCTACTTTGAACTCTACAGGTGTCGGTCTGGGTCTGTCTAACAAAACCCACTGAGTACTGCATCCTTCTGCTATTGTTCTTCTTCTATGATATGCTTCTTGAACTGAGATCCATAAGGATACAACCTTGGTTTATATCTATTCCATATGCTCAGTATGATACATGTAATAAAATGATTTTTGAAATTCACATTAACTTTATTGTACCGTAAATATCCATAGCATCCAAATCTCAGGACATGACCGTCTTACTCTAAAAGTCTCTTATTTTTCAGCCACATTCATTCTTTCACCCAGACCAAATAACAAGCAGCAAAATGCAATTTCAAATCTGGTTAAACCCAATCTTCTACTTTCATATGCATTTTGTAACACCTAAACTCGTGGGTTTTTTCCCTTGCCATATAAATTTAGATTTATCTTTTTGTCAGTGTTTAAATGGAACATCGGTTGTCAAAACAGGGATTGTCTGTAACAAAAACATCATTTGTGGCAAAACATTCATTTTTATCAGATTTGCCCCAATAGTGTGAATTTTATTTTCTCCCATCTTAACTTGTCTTTCTTAATTGCATTATGTGTCCTAGTTATTTTCAAGTAATATATAATTCATATTTGTCAGAGTAATACCCAAGTATTTTACTTTTTTCTCAATCTTAAAACCAGTTGCCTCCATAATTTCTATTTGATTTTCTAATTTTAATATTTTTAACACCTTTGTCTTCTGATTATTAATCTTAAAACCTGCTAAAAATGTAGTCCATTTTTCCCATTAGTAGTTCTACTCCCTCTAGTGGATCTTTTAAAATTAACACCAAATCACCTGCAAATGTCCAGAACTTTTACATTTCTGTTTTAATCTTAACTTCCATAATTCTCTCAGCCTGTTTTACGTCTCTTTCAGTACTTCCAGAACTGAATTATTTCAATATAAGATTATTGAGTTAAGACTACAATATGCACAGAGCTAGAAATATTCAAGACTATTGACCATGGAGGAATGTTTGGTGAAATTTGACAGAACTTGCTAAGATAGATAAATTAACTGTTTTATTAGAGAAAAGACACTATTTACATTTATTGGCGATTGGCAAACATCATATGGATTTTTTTGCATAAAAATAAAAGAACTGAATGTATGATTTAGGGCTTTGATGATTAGACAGGAAAGATTATAGAAAGAACAGCATCATGAAATATCTTTAGAGAGAGAGGTTGAAATGTAATAACTGCTATGAAGAGGATTGGAAACCAGTTCTTTGTATCTTTTTCTTTCTTTTTTTAAATTTGTTTTCTTGCACTTTCTTTCTTTCCTTTTTCCTTCTTTACTTTATATTAGTTTGTGTTAGTTTTTTTTCTTTTTCAAAAGCTTCAATAAAAATTATATAAAAATTAACTGCAATAGTTCCAAAGTGAGCATCAAATAGGCTTGTGAGGGACTTTCAGTTGGAGGCAAAAAGAAGCTTCAGTTGAAGGTACGATTCACCACTCATCTGCAAGTCCTTAAACCAAATGCATTTATCCTAGGATCACACAGAGATGGGCAAAGCTAAGATGTTACAGAGAGGTACTCAATTTGTGTTCATTTAAATTTTAAAATGGTCCTAAGCATCTTCTGGTTCTAGACCTCTAAAAGTAGTGAATATAAGGTTGTGCTTATTGTATGAAATTAAAACTTGAGAGATGCTTTAAGAAGTCCTGCCTAGTAGGCAGATATGGAATGACGCATAAAGCAGATGCCGTAACTACATAAATAAATAGACAGGAAATTCCTGTCATTTTATTTGTTATTATAAAACAGGAAGGAAGGAAGTAAAGAAGGCAGGAAGGAAGGAAGGAAGACAGGAAGGAAGGAAGGAAGGAAGGAAGGAAGGAAGGAAGGAAGGAAGGAAGGAAGGAAGGAAGGAAGGAAGAGAAAATAAGGTTTTTGGCTTCATTTCAAACAAGTTAAGAATTGCACTTTCAACTGGATGATTCCAGAAGGATTTAGGCACAAGGAATCAGTAAGTCGGGTTACACTTAGAATACTTTGAGGTAGCAGCTTTAACATGGCTGAACATACATCTCCAGCTGACTTGGCGACAGTGGATCAGTCTGTGGGGCTCTGGCATTTTTGGCAATCCTTCATGTCCTCCGAATAGTTCTCTATCTGGATTGTGGTTGTGTGAAAATCGAAAGCTTTCTGCAGTCGGCAGCTGGCTTCTTTCAAGACAGTCTGGGCATCGGCATCTTTATCTGGGACAGAAATGACAGAGCTGAGGGACAAGGATTAGAGACGGTGGGGAAACTGAAGTCTCCACCCCTTTCAAAAGCCAGTCCTCAGGAGCGGATACGGATGGTTCTAATTTAGTCTGGGCCTGCTTCAAAAATTATTTGGAAAAATTGCTTTAGGTCTTATGGCAGGGGTCTTCAAACTTGGCCCTTTTATGACTTGTGGACTTCAACTCCCAGAATTCCTCAGCCAAGCAAGTGTGCCTGGCTGAGGAATTCTGGGAGTTGAAGTCCACAAGTCATAAAAGGGCCAAGTTTGAAGACCCCTGTCTTATGGAAACGCAAGCACAGCACTTCTTTAATATTTTTAACTTCTTTAACATTCTTAACAGCCACACAACTTTGTTCAGACATAAACTGAAAGAAATACCTCATGAGAGTTGCCTTAAAACAGTGAACAGTGACACTGTTTTGCCAGCCTTGGTCAGAAGCTTGAAAAAGTGGGGCTACTTTAATGAATCTTAGGTGAGAGTCAAAATATTTCTCAGTGATGTCCACAGAGTGCAGTCCTAACTGACTCAGGCTGGTGTAGCATCCAACAGGCCATTAAGGTAGCCCTTTTCAGGTAAAGCTTAATTCTGCTGACTTTAGAGAAATATTTCAGGAGTTTTCTTGGCTACATCATAAAGGTAGTCCTCGTCTTATCATCTTAGCGACGGTTCAAAGTACAATGGGGCTGAGAAAGGTTACTAGTAGCCAGTTCTCATGTCTATCGCAGCATCCCATAGTAGTGGGATCAAAATTTGAAAACTGGTATTTATGACAGTTGCAGCATCCTGGGGTCATGTGATCATCATTTGGAATCTTTTAGCTTCCAACAAGCAAGGGGAAAACCAAATTCACTTAATGACCACATGATCCACTCAACAACTGCAGTAATTCACTTAACAACTATGGCAAGAAAGATCATAAAATTGGTACGATTTATTTAACAACTTAGCAATTTAAAGAGATGTGGACTTCATCATGCTGGCTGGGAGAATTTTGGGAGTTGAAGTCCACACATTTTCAAGTTCCTACCATTGAGAAACACTGAACTAGAATTATTGTGGGGTGCCTGGGTCCGTTGACTTTGTTCCAGAATGATGCAAATCCTAAGCTTGCCTCTCACTATCGTGTAAACTTACTGATTGCGATATGGACCGACAGGACCGGCTGAGACACTGTTAGAGCCCAGATGTGGAGGCTGTGGATTGCTTTCACTCCACTTATGGACAGCAGGATAGTCTTCACATCATTGAAATCGATGCTTTTCGGAGTACCTATACAACAATATGGAGGAAATGGAAGAAATGAGTCAAAACGGGATGCAAAGGCTCTCGCAGTTCTAGATCTCTTTCACACTTCTAGCTTCCTATCTTGGATGACTCAGTTGCTTAAATAATGGAGCCTTCAGGGTCTGTTTCAGCTGCGAAATCATCTTCTTTTCTTGGTGACTCTACGAGTCTTCCCATCTGAGCAGAAGCTGGGCAAGACCTTCTTTAACTGAATTTTTAATTTATATCAGGCATTATTTTTCTTCAAACTAGCTTTCAGTACCCAGCAATAGAGAGGCTTAGGTAAAGTATAACTTTAGATGCTGTTTTATATATTGATTATATGAGCCGAGGTGGCGCAGCAGTTAGGGTGCAGTACTGCAGGCCACTTTAGCTGACTGTGTTCAGCAGGTCAGCGGTTCAAATCTCACTGGCTCAAGGTTGACTCAGCCTTCCATCCTTCCGGGGTAGGTAAAATGAGGACCCAGATTGTTGGGGGCAATGTAAATATATATATACATTGCTTACTGGTGTACACCGCTTAGAGAGTGCTTGCACTTAAAGCGGTATATAAGTCTCATAAATAAATACTGTATATCGCCCCCCCCCCTTTGAGGGAAATGAGCGATACAGAAACATGAAAAATAAAAAAGTAAGTAAATAAATAAATCAATAGTAAATAGCATAGCATTGCCCAGCATGAATTGACAGGATGAGCTAAACGTCTTATCAAATTAAATTAACATCACTGCAGTTTAAGTGGATGGTATGGCTTTCTGACTTATAATAGCTTCCCTTTTCTAGAATTCAGCTCTTTGGAGTTGGATTAGCAAGCCGCTCCAAATGGGTGGGGATCCAGTTTGGGGAGTCCTCGGTGCACCCGGAGCTTGGTTGTTTTCTTGCAGACATTTCATTACCTAACCTGCATAACATTATCAGTGCACTGATGAGTACTGATGCTATAATCTAGCTTGGGTATTGAACCATCTGCATGAAAACAACCAAGCTCAAAGAGCACCAAGCCCTCATTTTAACCCTGAGCTACAAATATTCTCCTTTAAGATCCTATATGATTTCCTTCTGGGATAATCTTTGCAAATGACTTTCTGAAACTCACTGGGGGATGGGAAGAGGGATGGGAAGGCTCCTATCTTTCCAGTTGGAAGACCAAGGTAGGGAGCAATGCACACTGCAGATGTGTGTGTAGCATCTAGCTGTGGGGAGGGACCTGGTTTCATAACAATCTGTGATGCATTTCTGACACTTGGCAACTAGTGTTGTGAAAGCACTAAAGAAGCTTGTAATGGCAAACGCAGGGTTTCTCCTTTGGGTGCCCCAAAGCTGATTTTCCAAAAGGCAACTGGACTTTGTTTTTTCCCCCTTGAAAATGTTTTTCTTCTTACCCAAGAAGCTTCTTCAGTTCTGACTGAATGGTGGGGAATGGAAAGTGGTCTTTTCTTTGCAGTTAGGACTGAAGAAGCTTCTTGATGAGAAGCAAAATGTTTTCAAGGAAAAAAGGAAAGTTCAGTTGCCTTTTGGAAAAGCACTTTTGGAACAACCATGAGCTGGACAATGGAGAATCTCCATAGACATTTCTCCTCTGGGTGGCGTCTGTCCTACTTTTATTATTCCTACTCTATCATACAAGCCTGCTGTCTTCAAAGTCCAACCTAACGCTCTCAAGCCCATCTCCCAGCCCAAGGAAATGACCTTCCATCAGCACCCGGATAACATCTCGGAGGATGCTCAACGTTGTTCCAAGGACCAGGATGGAAAACACAAAGGTACAGATAGGATCCACATATTTATATTCTGGCTAGAAAGAGAAGAAAATAATCCATCAGTCTTCCTCTCTTGGTTCAAGGACAGAGTCCCTTTCTAGCATCTGTTTGGCATTTACTTCATCAGTGAGTGACAGCTGATGTCTACTAGCAGCATTCTTACCCCGGGGTAGAAGCACCCATGGCCTTCCTAAGGTTGGGCTCCACCTCCTGTCACACTCAGTCAGCATGGCTGTAAAGAGTAGAAATCATAACTTCTCCTCTCCTGTGGAGAGCCAGCGGCTTCCGGTTCTGTTTTAGGACTAGTAATTCAACCACAGAAGAGATGGCTGCATAGGAACAGGAGGATCATTGCCTTCTTATTAAATCAGGGAACAGGCAACCTGAGGTCCATATGCAGCCTCCAGCTTGTGACATTTCAGCAGCCAAATCCACACTGCCAAAATCTGACAACAAAGTAACTACAGGTAGTCCTCAACTTACGATCACAATTGAGCTCAAAAATTTTGTGGTTAAGCAAGACCAGGGGTAGGCAACCTTGGCTCTTTTATGACTCGTGGACTTCAACTCCCAGAATTCCTGAGCCAGCCATGCTGAGGGGAAAGGGAGAGGTTTCCAAGCTGAGCCATGCTGGCTCAGGGATTCTGGGAGTTGAAGTCCACGAGTCATGAAGGGGCCAAGTTGAGGACCCCTGATATAGTGCAGGGATAGGCAACCTTGGCTCTTTTATGACTCGTGGACTTCAACTCCCAGAATTCCTGAGCCAGCCATGCTGAGGGGAAAGGGAGAGGTTTCCATGCTGAGCCATGCTGGCTCAGGGATTCTGGGAGTTGAAGTCCACGAGTCATGAAGGGGCCAAGTTGAGGACCCCTGATATGGTGCAGGGATAGGCAACCTTGGCTGTTTTATGACTTGTAGACTTCAACTCCCAGAATTCCTGAGCCAGCCATGCTGAGGGGAAAGGGAGAGGTTTCCAGGCTGAGCCATGCTGGCTCAGGAATTCTGGGAGTTGAAGTCCACCAGTCATGAAGGGAGCCAAGGTTTCCTACCCCTATTCTAAGTCCTCCTGTTCTAAGCGGTGAGCCTCCTATACCAGGAGTAGGCAACCTTGGCTCTTTTATGACTCGTGGACTTCAACTCCCAGAATTCCTGAGCCAGCATGGCTCAGCTTGGAAACCTCTCCCTTTCCTCTCAGCATGGCTGGCTCAGGAATTCTGGGAGTTGAAGTCCACGAGTCAGAAAAGAGCCAAGGCTGCCTACCCCTGAGCAAGACAGTTGTTAAAGTCAGTTTGCCCTGTCTTATGACTTTTCTTACCACAGGTGGTAAGTAAATCACTACAGTGATCTACAGAGATTCTCAGTCATCCAGGTCCTGGTTGTCTCAAAGGTGCTTTCTTCAAAGGCCACTGGATGTTGGTATTTTTCCCTGAAGAAGACTTTTCGCTTCTCATCCAAGGAGCTTCATTCAGTCAAAACTGAAGAAGCTCGTTGGACGAGAAGCGAGACGTCTTCCTCACGGAAAAAAAACAATGTCCAGTGGCCTTTGGAGAAAGCACCTTTGAGACAATCACTACAGTTTTAAGTTAGTAACATGATCAACTGAATCTGGCTTCCCCATTGACTCTGTTTGTCAGAAGGTCACCACAGGTGTCTGAAGTTTGATCAGATGACCATGGGGATGCTGCAACCGTTGTTAAGTGTGAAAAAACTGTCATAAGTCACTTTTTTCTGTGCCTTTGTAACTTTGAACTGTCACGAAACAAATGATTATAAGTTGAGGACTATCTCTGCCCCTACTTCCTCAAATTAAGTTGTGAGAAGGAGATATGAAGTGGGAAGTCCCTGGCAGTCTCAAAACTCTTTGATAATCCTACAGCAGGGGTCTTCAAGCTTGGCCCTTTTATGACTTGTGGACTTCAACTCCCAGAATTCTTCAGCCAGGCATGTGTGCCTGGCTGAGGAGTTCTGGCAGTTGAAGTCCACAAGTCATAAAAGGGCCAAACTTGAAGACCCCTGTCCTACAGGATGAAGGAGTTTGACCTAACTAGCTTTATACATATTTCCATTTCTTGCTTTGAGCTTATGTCCCACTAATCAGGATTACAATGAAAGATTGATCCTAGTAGTCCCATAAACTGTTGGGGACTATTCTATGATTGAGAGGGAAAAAAAATAATCTTTCTGTTGGAACTCTTACCTTGAAGTAGATTATGATGGCGGCCACCAAGACTCCAATGCTTTGCACGAGATCTCCAACAACGTGGATAAATGCAGCTCGCACACTAGTATTTTGTGTCCCCTCCTTGTGACTGTGACTGTGACCATGATGGCTATGACCGTGTCCTGATTGGTGTAGGATAATGCCCATCCTATAGAAAAATATTAATAAAGAGCCAGTTGTAAACAGCACAGTAATTAAGAGGCTGGGACTGGACCAAGGAAATGTCTGTTTTTCAATTTTGACCAGACTAGGAAACTAATGCCATGTAGGTCAGTGCTACTTTTAATATAGGTAGTCCTCGACCACAATTGAGCCCAAAATTTCTGTTGCTAAGCGAATTTGGCCTTGTTTTCTTGCCACAGTTGTTAAATGAATCACTGCAGTTGTTAATAACACAGTTGTTAAGTGAAACTGGCTTCCCCATTGACTTTGTTAGGTCGCAAAAGAGGATCACCTGCAATCATCATAAACACAAGTCAGGTGCCAAGCGTCTGAATTTTGATCATGCGACCCTGGGGATGTTGCAATGGTTATAAGTATGAAAAGCGGTCATGTCCCTTCTTTCAGTGCTGCTGTAACTTTGAACCATCACTAAACAAACTGTTGTAAGTCAAATAATGATGATAATAATAATAATAATAATAATAATAATAATAATAATAATAATAATAATAATAATAATAATAAAGTTGGAAGGGACCTTGGAGGTCATCGAGTCCAACCCCCTGCTCAGGCAGGAAACCCTACCACATTTCAGATAAATGACTGTTACCTTGATGTGGTTGTGGGGCTTGTGTACTCTGAGGAAGATGAGAGCTATGCCAGAGGTTCAACCATACTGGACAGGTCTCATCAGGAGTCAGACAAAGAGTGTCTCTCCCATAAAAAATATGGTGAGACGTAAATTGCAGAATGCCATACCGGCTCGGACGTCGCCCGGGTTAACAAGGTCCGTGCTAGATATTGGAGTTCCTGGATATCTGGTGAAAAATGGGTTACAGGACTCAGGACTGTTGGCTGAGCAACCAGGGCCAGCAGCTGCAGAACTACTGGAAGAAAAGGTGTTTACCCGTCACAGATACACAGTGATTGAAAACAAAGAAATAATGATCTGTTACTACAGATCAAGTCCAACAAGAAGAGGATATCTAAAACGAATGCACCAGTTCTGGAAAGAACAACATCCAGAATCAGAAATAACAGAACAGAGACTAGCAGATCAACGCCGATTTATAACACGAAATAAAGTATTCACAGAAACAGAATTGGACGAACTGCAAAGGTTTACCCAGGGCAAAGAAATCAAAGCCTTACCAGAAGTAATTCAGAATGTAGAGGCAAACCAGGGGGAGTTGGCAGTGAAGGAATCCAGCAGAGATATACAACTGTTCTCATTTGGAAACCAGGCACCTCTTCCTCAGGAAGAACAAAACCCTCTAACTAAAGAAATAAAAGAATTGAAACAAAGAATAACTGAGCATCTAGAACAGCACAAAAACAACAGAATAAGACTACCTGCATTGAAGCTTGTTCCAAAGAAACAGCTAGCACAAGCATTAAAAGATGCAAATACTGCAATATCAAGTATAAGCACCAATTCACTGCAAGAAACAAACCAACTAATGTACAGCACAGCTGCAGTTATAACAGAATATCTGGGATGCAAAATCAACAAAAAAGAAAAACAAACAAACAGTGCACCAGAAAAATGGAAGGTTAGACTAGAAAATAAGATCAGCAAGTTAAGATCACATGCAAGCAAGCTAGAACAGATGAAAGAAAAGAAGCTGAAGAACAAGAAGACCAAAGAATACCTAATCAAGAAATACCACTTAGAAACAAGGAAGATCAAGGAAGCACTGGAAATAATAAAGCAACAAATAACAGCTATAGCCAGGAAAATCAGTAGATATGAAGCTCGAATTGCAAACTATAGGCAGAACCTCCAATTTCAATCCAATCAGAAACGTTTCTACCAATCCATCAATGGAGAAACTGCAAGGAATCAGTCAGTACCTGACAAGGAAGAAACAGTGCAGTTCTGGAAGCAGATATGGGATAACCCAAAGAAATACAACAAGGATGCGGCTTGGTTAAAAGAGGTGGATGCAAATAAAACAGAAGTTGAAATGAAAGAACTAGTAATAACAACAAAAATGGTAGAAAAAAGAGCAAAGAAAATCAAAAATTGGTCAGCACCAGGTGAAGATGAACTGCATGGGTTTTGGTTGAAACATCTAACTGTTATACACCCACTCATTGCCAACAGTTCAACAATATACTACAAGGAAGAGAAATTGAAAAGTGGCTAACAACTGGGAAAACCTACCTAATAATGAAAAATCCAGCAAAAGGGGCAACACCAGGTAACTACAGGCCAATTACCTGCTTACCAACAACTTTCAAATTACTAACTGGTGTAGTAGCTGATGCAGTGCAACAGCATCTAGTTGAAAACAATCTCTTTCCACCTGAGCAGAAAGGAAACCGCCCCAATAGCAGAGGAACAAAAGATCAACTCCTAATAGACAAAATGATCTTGGAAAACTGCAAGAGAAGGAAGACCAACCTGAATGTGGCATGGATTGACTACAAAAAGGCATTTGACTCTCTGCCACATGATTGGATAATAAAGTGCCTAGAAATAACAGGAGTCAGTAGAAACATCAGAAAATTTGTGCAAAGATCGATGGCACAATGGAAGACACAGTTGCAGATCAATGGTGAGAGGCTGGGAGAGGTTAATATCAAGAGAGGAATATTTCAAGGAGATTCATTATCACCATTACTATTTGTTATTGCACTGTTTCCTCTGTCAACAATACTGAATAACTCAGGACATGGCTATCAAACATCAAAAACATCTGCCAGACTATCCCACCTCCTTTACATGGATGATCTGAAGCTGTATGGAAAAACATCATCTGAAATAGAATCGCTGCTCAACACTGTCCGTATATATAGCCAAGATATTGTAATGGAGTTTGGCTTGGACAAATGTGCCACACTTACTATCAAACAAGGAAAAATAATGAAAACTGAAGGAATCAAGATGCCCCACGAAAATAACATTAAGAGTCTGGATGAGGAAGAGTACTACAAATACTTGGGTATCCTTCAAGCTGACAACATCAAGCACACTGAAGTCAAGAAAAAGATTAGAGGTGAATACATCAAGAGAGTGAAGAAGATCTTAAAATCCAAACTCAATGGAGGAAATACCATAAAGGCAATCAACACCTGGGCAATCCCAGTCATTAGGTACACAGCTGGAATAGTGGACTGGACTCAAGCAGAACTAAAAGCAATGGATAGGCAGACCAGAAAAATAATGACAATGAATCATGCCCTTCATCCACGCAGTGACATTGATAGACTTTATCTACCAAGGCAAATAGGTGGGCGTGGAATGCTACAAGTACATCAGATGGTTGAAGAAGAAAAAATGGCTTTGGAAGAATATCTGAAGAACAATGATGAAGATGCACTGAAATTAGTATATCAGGAAGGCTTACTAACTACTGGAGAGACCAAACTGGCCTACAAGAAAGACCAAATGAAGAACAGAATAGAGGCATGGGAAGACAAAGCACTACATGGCCAATACATGAAAAAAATAGCTGGGAAAGCAGATAATAATAAAACCTGGCAATGGCTAAGAGCAGGAAAATTGAAGAAAGAGACCGAGGGACTAATTCTGGCTGCACAAGACCAAGCCTTAAGGACAAATGCATACAAAGTCAAAATTGAGAAGACAGCAACAGACAGTAAGTGCCGCCTATGCAAAGAAGCTGAAGAAACAGTGGACCACTTGGTAAGCTGTTGCAAGAAGATTGCACAGACTGATTACAAGCAGCGGCATGACAAAGTAGCAACAATGGTGCATTGGAAGATCTGCAAAAAATATCATTTGCCTGTAAGCAAAAACTGGTGGGATCATAAAATAGAGAAAGTCATAGAAAATGATAAAATTAAACTGCTCTGGGACTTCAGAATTCAGACAGACAAGCACCTGCAACATAACACCCCAGACTTAACAATTGTCGATAAGAAAGACAAAAAAGTCTGGATAGTGGACGTGGCAGTGCCTGGAGACAGCAGAATAGAAGAGAAAGAACTGGAGAAGATAACAAAATACAAAGACCTACAAATAGAAATAGAAAGACTGTGGCAAAAGCAAGCAAGGGTAGTACCAATAGTCATAGGCTCCTTGGGTGCAATCCCAAAACAACTGGAGCACCACTTGAACACCATTGGCATTGACAAATTCGCTATTAGTCAATTGCAAAAGGCGGCCTTATTAGGAACTGCTTCCATCCTGCGACGATATCTGTAATACCATCAAACATCCACATCTGCCTATCCCAGGTCCTGGGTAAGGACTCGATAGGTAGACAAAATGCCAAATCCAGTCTGAACATCTGGCTGACTGTGCGATGATCGATAATAAAGTTGGAAGGGACCTTGGAGGTCATCAAGTCCAACCTCCTGCTCAGGCAGGAAACCCTACATCATTTCAGATAAATGACTGTCCAGTCTCTTCTTAAAAACTTCCAGTGTTGGAGCATGCACCGCTTCTGGAGGCAGCTTGTTCCACTGGTTAATTGTTCTCACTGTCAGGAAGTTTCTCCTTAGTTCTAGGTTGCTTCTCTCCTTGATTAGTTTCCATCCGTTGCTTCTTGTCCTGCCTTCGGGGGCCTTGGAGAATAGCTTGACTCTCTCTTCTTTGGGGCAGCCCCTGAGATATTGGAACACAGCTATCATGTCCCCCCTCGTCCTTCTCTTCATTAAACTAGACATACCCAATTCCAGCAACTGTTCCTCATATGTTTTAGTTTCCAGTCCCCTAATCATCTTTGTTGCTCTTCTCTGTACTCTATCTAGAGTCTCAACATCTTTTTTACATCGTGGTGACCAAAACTGGATGCAGTATTCCAAGTGTGGCCTTACCAAGGCATTATAAAGTGGTATTAATACTTCACGTGATCTTGATTCTATCCCTCTGTTATTATAACAGGGGTCCCCAACTCCTGGTCCGTGGACCAGTACCGGGCCGCGGCATGCCAGCAATCGGGCCAGCCCATCCACGAGATGCAGGCAGAACACAAAACCATGCACCCTTCGCTCTGCGGAAAACCTCCTCTCCACGGAACCGGTCCCCAACCTTTTGGGCACCTCTGAATTATAGTATTATAGTAAAGCTATAATTACAGAATTTTGCAATCTGATTGCAGTTTGCCCCTCCTTCCCTTTATTTTCTAGTATTAGGCATGTCTGAGAAGTTTACTCCCATTACATTCTTGGCTTGGCTCAGGGCCTTTTATCCAGCTGTACTCTTAGTAGCACCTCTCTCCTCCCATCTTCAAAGCCATTCCCTCTGCCCTCTACAGAAGATCAATCAATCCTGGAACTTACTGTATCGCCCTCTCTCTCTCTGTGCAACATACCTCACTGAGATAAAATGAAGGGATGTCCCCCAGATATTTTATCTTGACCTTTCAGAGTAAGCAATGCAACAAATGGATTTTTTTTTTTAAATAGGACAAGATAAAGGCCACACAGATTCCTAATTCTTCTTGCCAATAAGGTATTCCTCATCTCTTTCTATCCAAGACTTAAGGAGGACATTTCATCCTGATCCCGTTTTTGCCCACAGTACGTCCACTTTCCACAGAGAGCAGCCATTACAACAAGAATCACAGGACTGGAGAAGATGAAACTGGCTGCTCACACACAGCCCGTTTGGAAGCAAAGGCACAAGGCGGAGAAAATCCTGAGGAGAAGTTGCTTCAGATCAGTGTTTATTAACCTCAGCAACGTCTGGACTTCAACTGGGGAATTCTGGGAGCTGAAATCCACACATCCTAAAAACTCCCAGAGCGACCCCATTGAGTTTGAAAGCTATCCATGACTGACTTAGGATACAGGTAGTCCTTGACTTATGACCACAACTGAGCCCCGAATTTCTGTTGCTAAGTGAGACAGCTGTTGAGTCTTGACCCATTATACCACCTTTCATGCCAATGTTCTTAAGTGAATTGCTGCAGATGTTAATTTAGTAACATGATTGGCTTCCCCATTCACTTTGCTTGTCAGAAGATCGCAAAAGCTGATCACATGACCCCGGAACACGGCAACCGTCACACACATGAACCACTTGCCAAGCATCCACACAGTTTGATTACGTGACCCCGGGGATGCTGCAACAGTCATAAGTGTGAAAAATAACCATAAGTCACTTTTTTCCAGTGCTATTGTAACTTTGAATGGTCACTAAAGAAATAGTTTTAAGTCAAGGATTATCTGTATTCGTTATTCTTGGCATCAACCAGAAGGGAAATGCAAGCTCACTGGGAATCAAATAGACACGTATACACCAGATAAAGTTGTCTCTCCAAGAAGCTAACCGGGGACTGTCAAAGACAGGCGTAGGCAACCTTGGCTCTTTTATGACTCGTGGACTTCCACTCCCAGAATTCCTGAGCCAGCATGGCTCAGCTTGGAAACCTCTCCCTTTCCCCTCAGCATGGCTGGCTCAGGAATTCTGGGAGTTGAAGTCCACGAGTCATAAAAGAGCCAAGGTTGCCTACCCCTGGTCTAAGATGAAGAAACAAAACCAGAAAGAGAATATCAGAGCCTATGCTTTGATCAAGCTTGTCCTCTTATTTAGAAGAACTGCCAGATTGTTTGGCTTTTGGACTTAAGAGTGGGAGGATTTGCTATCTTGATTGTTGGTATTCTTTTTTGTATCTGGCAACAAGCAAGCAAAAAAAGAATGGACAACCATTTGTCTGAAATGGTAGAGGGGTTCCCACTTAAGCAGGGGGTTGGAGTAGAAGACCTCCAAAGGTCCCTTTCAACTCTGTTATCCTGTTAAATCAATAAATAGCACGGGTCTTTTGTTAAGGTTAAGGACAAACAACAGGTAGTCCTTATAGGTAGATTATTTGCTTTGCAACAAAGTGAGTTGCAACAAGTCCTCACTTTTACAACTGTCTCAGGGTTCCCATGGTCACACGATCATGATCCAGGCACTTAGCATCTGGCTAGTAAGTATGATGGTGGCAGCATCCCCAGGGTCATGTGATTGCCATTTGTTGCCCTCTCAGCCAGAAAAGTCAATTGTCATGTCTCCGACAGATGAAACTCTTCAAAGAACTTCAAGGCATTGTTTACCTTAAAGGATCTTTATTCAAGTTGCATGGCATCTGCACCTACATGGTCGAAGCTGAAATCTGAATTCCCCTCCCCTGAGCACATAGTATCAAATTCCCTCCTCCAATTATCAGTCATAAATCACATTCTCCAATTAGTTTGAATTGCAGGCTTTCCCTCCTGTTCTCTAACCTGCCAATTCTTATCATCTCTTATTTCAAGCTCTGAATTCACACACTAGTACAATATTGTTATGTGTAACTAACTCCCACCACATTCCGCCTCCTCCCACAGCATCATCTAATTCTAAAAGTAAAGCACAAGAAAGAAAAAGGCTGCATCTTCATATGTTGCCAAAGCAAGAACATCCAATGTTAGCAGCATTGACATCAATGGGGAAACCAGATTTGCTTTATTACTGGGTGATTCACTTAATGACAGCGACAGAAAGATACTAAAAGTGGTCATAGTCACATGACTCACTTTAACAACTACTTTCACTTAGCAACAGATGTTCCAGTTCCAATTGTGTCCTAAGTCAAGAATGATGACGATGTTATCCATTCAATCAAGTCCAACTCTTGGGTGATTCTATGGGCCAGGTCTCTCCATATCTTCAATCTTGCATACTTCTTCTGAGTTTTTCTATGCTCTGACTGGTGTCAGTTTTGATGGTGTCCAGTTACCGTGTCCTTTGGCGGCCCGGTTTCTTTTTACCACTAACTCTTCCAAATGTAATTGCTTTCTCCAATGAATTTCCCCCCCGCATGACATGGCCAAAATAAGTGAGACGCAGTTATGTGATTTTGCCTTCTAGTGACATGTCTGGTGTTATGTGCTCCAGTACTTGCTTGTTGGTCTCCTCTGCTGTCCAAGGAAGTCAAGAACTACCTATACAAATTATCTTAGCTCTGCAGTTCTGTCCAGGGGTAAAGGGCTTCCTGTTCACAAATGGCCAGCACCAGATGAAGACCCTACTACACAATGTGTGTGTGTGTGTGAGAGAGAGAACTTTAATTCTTTGCCAGTTACTATAACTCAGATTCTGTACCACAAAATATATTGTGGTTCATTTCAGTGGAGATTTTGGCTGGGGACGGGCACAATACAATTGCAGAGATTGAGATCCAGGTTGGCAACACACAGAGGTGAAATTGTTCCAAGTTTCTTAATGGGCTTTTTGCCTTGTTTCCTTCCCCCTTTGTGGGGGTGTGCGCAGATAAGCAGTTTGCCGTTGGTTCGAGAAAGTGCTGGCTTCTAAACAAAGCACTGGGTTACAGCCACCTATTCCTTTATTGTTTTGTGGAGCCCAAAAGCATTTTTGTAGATAATAGCAGTGTTAGGACGTGACGCTTTACTTTGCATGTCTAGTACCCTTCCAGCTTTTCCCCAAATAAAAGAGCTTTAAAACTATCAGGAGCAGCAGAGAGTTTGACACACACTAAGGTTGATCTCTGGACTTGCACTAAAGATGCCTATAGCAGAGTTTCTGGCGAATACTTTTACTCCCACTCAATTATTTTAGCTGAATGGAATCAGAAGCCTTTCAAATGCCAAGCAGATCAAAGAGAAGCCCTACTGGGCCCATCTACAAAGAAGTTTCCATGTACAGAGAGTCCTCAACTTACAACAATTCATTAGTGACCATTCAAAGTTACAACGGCACTGAAAAATGTGAGTTAGGACCGTTTTTCACACTTACGACCCTTGCAGCATCCCCATGGTCATGTGATCAAAATTCAGACGCTTGGCAACTGACTCATTTTTATGACCGTTGCAGTGTCCTGTGATCAGCTTTGGTGACCTTCTGACAAGTAAAGTCAACGGGGAAGGCAGATTCACTTAACAACCGTGTTTCTAACTTAACTGGAGTGATTCATTTAACAATTGTGGCAAGAAAGGTTTGAAATGGGGGCAAAACTCATTTAACAAATGTCTCACTTAGCAACAGAAATGTTGGGCTCAATTGTAGTCATAAGTTGAGGACCCTAGCTGTATTGGCAGGATCAGGCTCCATCACCTGGTAAACTCTTGAGTTTTTCTTAAGGGTTTGGGGACGTTGTTCACAAATTATCCTGAATGTTCATACTTACATGATGTTTACAGCCACAGCACAGCCAGAAGTGATAAGCATGGCTTCGCCTTCTATCTCATAATTATCAGAAATCAGTCTCTCCACTGCTAGATAAACTAGCACACCAGTTACCACCCAGATTGAAAGAACAGACAGCAGGGCTCCCAAAATCTCTGCAGCAAAAATCAGAAAATTTTGGTTAGGCATTAAAAGTTGGAAAACTCCCAAGTTTTCACTGGCTGACTCACTCATCCCAGATATAATTAATAAAGAGCACCTCTGTCAAATACTCATGAACGGAATGTTCTTTCAACAAATCACTCATTCTGTCATTAAATGAAAGCGCAATTGATTCATTTCAGCCTAGCTGTTATCTGTGATCTTGGTTTGGTTTAGCTTATATGCAGTTAACTGGGGTATAATGATCAAACCACAATTGATTCAGTTTTCACATGAAGCCAAAGCTTAACAAATGATATTAATAACATATATAGGACAGCCTTGAGTTTTCAACTACTATGTTTTTACCGTTTTTTTTTCTTTTTTATACTTTCATAATTTTTTATAGTATAAACTGGCAAGAGTTGAGGAAGGAAGGAAGGAAGGAAGGAAGGAAGGAAGGAAGGAAGGAAGGAAGGAAGGAAGGAAGGAAGGAAGGAAGGAAGGAAGGAAGGAAAGAAAAGAGATGGGAGGGAGGGAGGGAGGGAGGGAGGGAGGGAGGGAGGGAGGAAGGAAGGAAGGAAGGAAGGAAGGAAGGAAGGAAGGAAGGGTTCAACTATGCATCAACTGAGAGTTGTGTTAAAGGGACAAATTAAAGTATCAGATTACAAGTTTCACGCACATCCTTGTACACAAATTCTGAGATTTGAAGGCATCTTTATTTCAGCCAATGCCTACAGTATGAGCATTGGTCTCTCAGGGAAGGCTAAGGAACCAATGGACAGGTGGTACTAAGGATCAGTGATCAATTGTGCTGCAGTTAAGTCACTAAAGCAGTGGTTCTCAACCTGTGGGTCGAGACCCCATTTGGGGTCGAACGACCATTTCACGGGGGTCGCCAAACAAGGCTGTCCGTCATTTTTTCCCCTTTTCTTTGGCCACGCCCCTGGCACCCGGTGATGTGTAAGTGGTTGGGGGTCACCACAACATGGGGAACTATATCATGGGGTCGCGGCATTAGAAAGGTTGAGAACCACTGCACTAAAGCATGCCTGTCGAGGAAATTCTGGGAGTTGAAGTACACACGTCTTATAATTGCCAAGATTGGGAACTTCTGCAGAAAGTACCTGCATAGTGTGTTTATGAATTTGTGATTAAACTATATAGGAACAGACTCAGGGAACTGGATGGATCCCTGGGGACAGATCAGCTAAAGGAAGTTCCTGAGCAAGAAAAAAATAAGGAATTAAACCAAAGGCATTGCTACTGTCACTAAGGACAAATGACCCAATTTAGGTTGCATTTCAGCCACTAAGTACCTACAAATTGTGTGTGTGTGTGTGTGTGTGTGTGTGTGTGTGTGTGTGATTGAAATATAAGCAAAAACATAAGGAACTGGCTGGATCACTGGAGACAGATCAGCTCCAGGCAAGAAACTGAGGACCAGGAAATAAAGACAAACATAAGAGGAAGTCAAAGAATTCAAACAAAGTCTATGTCTGTACTGGGAAGTCAACAGAAAATGTTGCCAATGTGCCAGCACCGCAAGCTGAGCAGGTGCAGAGAGAAAAGGTATGGGTTTTGTTCACACAACACATTAACCCTGGCTATTTTTGCACAGAACCTTCAACCAGCCAACTCTTCCAAGTTCATCAACCCCGCTAAATTTACAAGGCAACTAAGCAAACTGAAAGGTTAGCCTGCAGGAACAGGTAGCTAATCCAATTAAGTGTGTGCCTCATGAATGAACAGAGAGGAGTAATGTAGGTTGGAAGCCACAATCAGGAAACAGAGAAAACATAATGACGGAAAACTTAAAGACAGGCAAGATCTACAACAACAAGGTATTGACTTATCATGGTGGCCTTACTTACAAATCCAAACAAGATATGAGAAAGATCTAAAGACACCGGGATTTTATAAAGAACAGATAGAATTTGACCAAATATTCTTGAAAACAGATGAAAATTTGATTAAGAAACTTCATAGATTTCTGCTAAAATGGAAGACGGAAGAAGAAGAAGTAAAAGAGACAATGATAGTTTGGGCAAAAAACTTCGGATATTCTATAGACTTAGAAGCTTGGCAAAAGTTATGGGATAGAAATATTAAACTGATTAAAGCAGCTTCATATAAAGAAAACCTGTATAAACATGTTTTATAGATGGCACATGACACCAGTAAGGTTAGCGAAAATGTTTAAAAATGTTTCGAATAATTGTTGGAAATGTAAACAAAAGCCAGGTACCTATTACCATATCTGGTGGGTATGTCCTAGTGCAAAGAAATTTTGGTTTAAGATTCATATATGGCTGGAAAAGATAACTAAAATATAGATAGAATTTAAGCCAGAACTGTTTCTCTTAGGAATACTAGGATCTAACTATAGCAAAGAGATTGAGTATTTAATACTACATATATTGACAGCTGCGAGAATAGCATTTGCCCAATATTGGAAAAATGAGAATGTACCATCCATCAGAGGAGATCATAATTAGGAAAATCTTAGAATGTGCAGAAATGGACATACTAACCCTAGAGATTAAAGAGAAAGAAGATTCAGTTTATTTTAAAATATGGGAAAACCTTTATCAATGGTTAGCAACATGAGTTAATGAAAAACGACTGTGAAACTTATTAAGATGATTGATGTTTATTGATTAATTGACATGGTTATAATTATAGTTATTTTTGTTGACTTCAACTACCGTAATTTCCGGCGTATAAGACGACTCGGCGTATAAGATGATCCCTGACTTCGGAGCCGATTTGCATGCTTTAGAAAGTCGTCTTATACGCCGGAAAATACAGTATTTATTATTATATTAACTACTCCCAATGAACACTTGTATCCGGACAACAGTTTGTTTGCTAAAGCTTGAAATGTTATTGGGGGCAACCCCATTGTTGTACCTACCCCCATCCCAACCCCTTCCCTGAACCCTACTCTGAATCCCACTACCTATATTGACCCTCCCTTTCCCTAACCTTTATAAAACCTAATAAAATAATGTCCCCCCCCTCCAAAAAAAAGGGAAACAGAGAAAACATCTTCAAAAACCTGCACTGCTTTCCATTAAAAAAAAAACACAACTTTGTACAATTGGGCTCTGCAAGTAGAAGCTGGTGGAAAATTTCCTCAAAATGGCGAAAGGAATGATAAATGCAGGCAATCCTCGACTTACAACCATTTGTTTAAGTGACGATTCAAAGTTACAACGGCACTGAAAAAAAGAGTTTTATGATCTTTTTTCACATTAACAAGTGTTGCAATATCCCCATGGCCACTGATCAAAATTCCGACACTTGTCAACGGGCATGTGTTTTCCAGAGTCGCACTGAGCCAGGGTAGTGCGATCCCATTTGTAACCTTCCCAACTGGCTTCCAGAAAGCAAAGTCAAAGGGGAAAGCCAGATTTATTTAATGACTGCATGATTCACTTCATAACCGCAGAGATTCATTTAACACCTGTGGCAAGAAAGATCATAAAATGGGGCGAAGCTCACTTAACTGCTTAACAATGGAAATTTTGGGCTCATTTTTTCATATGGTAGCAATTCTGTAAATTTGTATTTCACCTTAAGCCAGCGGTTCTCAACCTATGGGTCGCGACCCCATTTAGGGTCGAACGACCATTGTATGGGGGTCGCCAAACAATGTGATCCGCCATTTTCCCCCCTCAGGGGGCGCTGCCACGCATGCGAGCCGCGCATGGGGCGCCGCCGTGCATGCGCATCGCACATGGGGGTGCCGCCACGCATGGGGGTGCCGCGCATGCGCGACGCATCGTGTGACGGGGGTCGCCGTCACACGGACGTTGAGAAACACTGCCTTAAGCGGATGTGCTGGTTCACAGAGTGTGCCATTAATGCTTTTTATGGCCCAGATTACCTGCTCTGTACCATCCAAAATTCATCGTCTTAGTAGGCTGTCGAGATGCCATCCAGAGAGAGAAAAGGCTGATCATCATGCTAGCAAAATCAGTCAATAGGTGGGCCGCATCTGTCATAATGGCCAGGCTGTGTGCAAAATATCCTCCTAGAGAGAATAAAAAAAAGAGTTATGGGCTGTGCCCTGAATTCTTCTTATTGGTTAAGAGTTTGTCTAGCTTTCTCCCAGCCATGTAGATTTCTACATGTCTGAAGCATTTCAAGACAGCAACATGCTTGCTCAATGCATTCACAGCGGACATGATCTCAAGAATGTCTCTTAGAGGTGGGGAATGATGGTCCTTTTAGGACTTGTGGATTTCAGCTCCCAGAATTCCTGAGCCAGCCATTCTGAGAGTTTAAGTCCACAAGTCATAAAAGGGCCATCTTTCCCCACCCTTGCACTAGATTAACCAGGCCAGAAATTCAATTCCACAGGAAGGCTAAAACGACTTATATTGAGATCGGGTGTAATAGCAATAGCATTTAGGGCAGTGGTTCTCAACCTGTGGGTCGGGACCCCATTTGGGGTCGAACAACCATTTCATGGGGATCGCCAAACAACGCAGTCCGCCATTTTTTCCCCCTTTCCCTTAGCTGTGCTACTCCCTTTTATTCTATTGGCTTTTGAAAGCTGATAGGAGTTGTCCAGGCTGTCTCTGCCCTGCTTAGCCCGCCAAAAGTCCCATTCTGCAAACGGTACTGCAAGTTGTCTGCAGCGAAGGCGAGCTGTCTGGAAGTTTCCACCCCTCCCTGCTGAGCAACTACTAAAAATGTAAGTAAAAGAGGGCCAGGGGTGGGAGGTGGGAGGCCGGCGGGTGCAGGGAGGGTTGCTGGTGCGCGTGGGGCCCAGCAGGTGCCTTACCTCCCTTAGGCTGGGCCAGCTGGTGGCCCAGCCGGTGGTCAGCCTGCGCCATCTCTGCCGCTTGCCAGCTACGCCTCGGCCGGCACAGGGGGCGGCACCACGCATGCGTGGCGCTCCCCAGCAGGGAAAGTCCTCGACTTACGACCAGTTGGGTAGTCCTCGACTTACAACTGGTTGGGGTCGCGGCATTAAAAAGGTTGAGAACCACTGATTTAGGGTTATATATGCCCCATAGTGCTTTACAGCAGGGGTCCCCAACTCCTGGTCCGTGGACCTGTACCGGGCCGCAGCAGGCCAGCAACCGGGCCACACAAACAAAGTCCCATTGTGGAATAAAGGGAGCACACAAAACCGTGCACTCTCTGGTCCGTGGAAAAACCTTTCTACACGGAACCAGTCCCTGGTGCCTGAAAGGTTGGGAACCTCTGTTTTATAGCACTCTCTGGGCAGTTTACAATGTAGTCATTACTTGCATATTGCCCCCAACTATTTCAGTCCTCATTTTTATCAACCTTGAAAGGGTGGAAGGCTGAGTCAACCTTGAGCCGGTCAGGATCGAACTCCAAGCTTGGGCAGAGTTTGCCTGCAATACTGCACTTAACCACTGCGCCACCAAGGCTAATCTCAGAATCTTGCAAACGTGATTCTGCTGCTAAATCCTCCCCCTTCCGATTCTCCAGTGAATTAAAGGGATGTCAATCCTGGGAAACAAGAGCATCATCATTTCAGCCCCTTTTCTCTAGGTTCCTGCAGACGTTCACGAAGGTCATCTCCACCAGCAATATGTACCCATCTGCCCTAAATGCCACTGGATCACTCCAACCACCAGCTCTCCTGCAAGGACCCTGCAGAGCCTTCACAATGTTAGCCGCCTACCTGCAACTTCCCCTGTCATGAAGACCAAGCAGATGGCGGAGGCCAGATAAAGCTTCCGACGAGCTCGTTTTTGCTCAGCATTGTTGCCATTGCTGGAGGCCCAGCTGGAGTGACAGTGCAGGTTTCCTTTGAGGTCCAGCTCGAGAGAAGAGAGGCCAGGTACGAAGCCAACCACTGAACCATGGAAGTCCTTTCCTGAGACTCCTAAATAGGATCTGCATTGGAAAGAACACCACGTTAAGAAGAAATTCTCTCCACTCCCAAAGCCTTATTGTATGCACCCGCTGGGCTTGTCGACCAGAAGGTTGGCAGTTCGAGACCCAAGCACTGCATGATGGGGTGAGCTCCCTTCTTGCTTCAGCTCCTGCCTATCTAGCAATTCAAAAGCACCACAAATGGAAGTAAATAAATAGCTAGCACTTTGGTGAGGAGGTAACAGCATTCCATGTACCTCAGCATAAGGTCATGTTGCCACATGACCACGGAAGCATCTTCGGATAATGTTGGCTCTCTCGGCTAAGAAACAGAAATCAACATCACGCACCAGACTTGGACACAGCTGGACAGGGAAAACCTTTACCTTTACATACTTACAAGCTTTGCTTATTAGCCTCCCTTACTCAACTGTACCTGCATTAAGCATGCTATTGTCCGCCCCAAGCCGAAACACGCGACAGTGAGATCAAACTGAATCTAATCCTTTATTTGCTTACATCTAATACTGTAAACAGAAGCTTGCCAAACTAAAGCTATCATTTTCTAAGCTAGATATACTCTGAGAGATTCAAGGGTCTGGTTATCCTGAGCCTCTTCCCCCCTCTTCCTTTCCAGCTTGCGACTTCTTGTTGTTAGTTGCGAAGTCGTGTCCGACCCATTGTGACCCCATGGACAATGTTCCTCCAGGCCTTCCTGTCCTCTACCATCTTCTGAAGCCTCCTGCTTCAGGGACTCCATCCAGCCACCTCATTCTCTGTCGTCCCCTCCTTCTCTTGCCCTCCATCTTTCCCAGCATCAGATGTAGGGATAAGAGACAGGCGAAAGTTGCGAGCAGAAAACTGTCCTACCAACGCTTGTGCCTTTGTTATGCATCTTCTTCTCCCCCCCCCCCACATCACCATGGTGACGTGACGCAGGTCTATCTGACCTTGCCAATTTGATAAGGCTAATCGGTGAACAACAAGTTTTCCTGTTTATGGCCTCTAACTTTTTACTCTAGAGGATTGGTAAAGGATTTTAGCCAATGAAATGCTGTTGCCATGCTGTATCTATTGCTATTTGAAAAACTCTATAAAAACAATAAACGGCTACGTTCGGGTGGCCATTTCTTTGCACCCTTCAATGACTAAGGAGTGATTACTACAGCTGGCGCCCTCAGCAGGGACATTTTGTTTTGGGACCCCTACGGGAAGAAGCAGCTGCCAATATACTTACCATCATCTGGAACAGACCCCTAGGTGCACTTTCGTCTTACGAGACCTCTCAGTGAGTAAGTATGGGCTGTAAATTATCTCACCCTCAGCAAAAGCATGTACAGGAGTTCAGACTCCTGCTACAGAAATCAGGCTTGGCAACGCTTGAAACGAACATAAGGAAGCTGATTGGGGAGATAAGAAAACAGTGTTCTTCGAATCTTAGGATGCTTAGGCTAAAAGATAGAGCATAAATTACATCTTGAACCTTGAACTTCAGTATAACACCTATAGTGTTCACTCCTGTCAGATAGGAAAGAAAAAAAATGGACCCAAATATTTCAGAACAGCCGCTTCTGCTTGCAACTAAGTAAAATTTATTCTTTCTAAAAACATCTTTAATTGGATTTTCAGCTTCTTCTGAAGAGACTAATTTCTTGCTGATTAGTTAAAGTCATAAATCAAATTTACTCCCTCAGAACAAAGTCTTTTGAGCAATCGGAATGCTCTGCAATATATTAAGTTAGCCGTCAGACAAATGTCTGGTTGTGTTTTGTGTTATGTGTGTGTGTGTGGCTACTCAGAACATTATGCTTGGGCTTGGAATGGTGAGAAAAATGGGAAATGATTAGGGCCCTCAAAACCACTTTTTGGTTGAAATCACCTTGTCATTTTTCTCGCTTCTTGCAGGACAAGTTATATGTCTAAATAAATGTTGTTGTAACAGTATCTGTGTATATATGTTTGTCTGTGTTGTTCTGTGTTATTCCAAGACTTGGAAGAGGCTCAAAGCCCTCTCTGATATCAACAATACAAAAAGGCCTTGCTAAGAATATATGGTTTGCCTGGAGAAAGTATGAAATGAAATAATTGTATGTGGAATGGTTTTATGGAAACAGTCAGTATGAAACTGAATGAGTTAATTTGTTGAAGTGTGTGTTAGCCTTTAAAACCCACCCATTCTTTCCCTAACTGTGAAAATAATAGTAAATATTTGTATGAGAAGAATTTCATGGAGAATGTATGAAAGAATTTATTGAAAGATGTATATTAAGGAGATTAAACTATTTTTTGGTGGTGAGATTTCTCCCCCCCTGTCTCTTTCGGCTGGCTGCGTTGCTTAAAGAGCCAGAGACAGGAAGGGGGGGGGGAACTGTTCGTTTAAAATTTTTTTTCCTCTGCTTGGAATTGTAATCTGAGAAGAGTGGAGTGAATCTGAAACTTGACATTCACCTATGCAGTTTCGGCAAATAAATTTTTTTTACTCAAAAGAGAAACAGCAATGTTGGACAATATTTTTTATATCCAACAACCAAAAGAACTAACTGAAATACATTGTTATAGATTTATACATATTTAACCTATTTATATACAAATTGTTTCCATCTGAATGGACTTTGCTTAAATTGAAGCACCAAAGATACAATTTAATTGGCTTTCAAAAAATATAAAATGATTTAGGATTGCAATAAGTCCCAGAAAAAAATATAGTTGCACAAATTGATGACATCATGAATACTCAATTTGTGGACAGAATTTCACACTTTTGATTTTTTCCTACCAGTAAATTACCTAATGGAGTATTAACTGTAATAGAAGTACAGAAAGTATATTGAATTGAATAATATTTACTTATCCCACATCCCATTCCAAAATGTTTTATTTTTTATCCAGGTGGTTGTTAAAATGATAACCTTAGGACGCACAAGAGCTTGCCGTTGAAAAGGAACTGATTTAATTAATATTGTTTTCAAAAATAACTTATCTCTTTAATGTGCTTTAACTGACTATATAGGCTGTATTTGCCTAATGATCTTTGATTTGCTTGTTTCCTTTCCAGTCCAGCCATTATTTTCTTTCTCTTTCTCCCTTGCCACAAGTTATTGCTTTTTCTGATGGAGAGTGAAGAGAGGAGCAATTGCTTACAAGGATGATACCTAGAAAGTGTCCTACACTGCAATGCAACCCTTATCACAATGCTCAGAATTATTTTAGCTTTTCAAACCTTTTCTCAACAGTCTTTTAACTTAGTCTCTGACTCTCATTAAGCGTGCCAACTTACTTTTACTTCTTCAGGTGCTTACATCATGCCCAGGATTGGCCCCAATCTTATGACTTTGTTTTTAACTTTGCAGCAGCTGCTCCATAACTGAAAGCATTTATTATTTTGTTTCTCATATACACAATCACTCCTCCCTTCCTGGGCCTAATTTTTTTTGTATGTCTTTTGTATGTTTTTTTTTTATGTCTTTTATGTGGTTTTGCCTCTAATCAGCTATGACAAATGGACATTATCCATGTTTTCTTTTTTTGGCTTTTTAGAAATGTATATTCACAAATAGGTATTTAGGAACAACTTCCCCCACCTCTATGAGGGGAAACAGGTTCACATGTTATTTTTCATCTTTTTTTGGACAATTTTATACAACCTGAAATATTGTTTTTACTCATGGTCTTCTCTATAATTCCACGGGTCAAGCTATCGTGGAACGTGCTAATTGGTCTTTCAAGGACTGCCTTCACAAACAAATAAAAAAGGACGGATTATCTAGGATACCCAATTTGTCGTGGGTAATACAACAGGTTCAAAAAGTATTATTTACATTACACCAATTGAATATTTCTATTCCAAATTTGACTGCTTATCAGAGACACTTTTAACAGAAAACAAGCTTGCCTCCACCTCTGGCATATCGGGCATTACCAGACAAAGCAGGGTTGGGACCAGTCCCTCTGATCACTTGGGGGCGGGGCTACGCTGCTGTGCTTGCTCCAACAGGACCTTTGCGGATTCCAGCGCGTTGTGATTACCCAGCCAGGGATGTCGTGGCACCAGTCCCTGGACCCAGTCCCAGAAATGGCAAGGGTGACTCTACAGATGGCACAGCAAGTAATCCAATCCTGACATGCCAGGCAGCCAGTGACATGAGGAGATGTAAAGAACTTGATCCCCGAGAACCTGTGTGCTGCCATTTTTGCGGTTTTAACTGCAAATTTCTTATCCATCATTTGTTTATGTCTGATCGTTAACATCTGCCTTTGACAACTGTAACTGTCATCCCACTCAAACAATCATTCGAACAACGAATGAAGCAAAATCTAACATCACACAAAATGACTTCTTTTGTTTATCTGAAATGTATTACATGTAATTTGCTTTCTATATGCTTAGTCTTTGTTTGCACCCCTTCTGCAGTAATTCAAAACTTCACTGACTCTGGGAAGTTATTGCTTAAAAAACCTCACTGTCATTGCATTGGCTCACCTGCTTTAAATTGCACAGCTTCAATAGAGACTTCCTTTCATTTTGGACATGCTTGGCTACTGCGAGGAGGGTTTTTTTACGTGTGGTCAAGAAAGTTTAAATTATATTCCTGCTAATATTAGTGAAGTGCAATGTTGCCTCAGCCAGCTGATTCCTGTTTTGCTTTCCAAACAACAAGTTCACACGAACCATTCTCCACGTGATGTCATGCTAGACAACACTTGTGACTCTGAGACAACCTTATTTTGTAGCATTGGCTATATCTCTAGTGGGCGTGCCAGGACTTGCTGTTCCGTGCCCACCTCAACATTAATGCTATTATATGAAATTTGGCAAAGACAATTAATACTACTTCAACTATTTCAGCGATCAATCATGAACTGCAAAATTTGAGAACTATTTTGCAAAATCACGCTGCAATTGATTATATGCTTCTACACCAGCATTTCGGTTGTAAACGTTTTGAGGAAATGTATTGTTTCAATATTTCTGATAATTCATGAACCATCCAGCACCAGATTTAAATTTTACACAATTTGGC